GAGAAAGGATATATAATAATACATCGATATCCGTTCGAAAGGTCCATTAAAGGAAAAAAAGAAAAAAAAAAAAGAAAAAGAAAAAAAATAAAAAAACAAAGAAAAGAAAAAAGAAAAAAGGGAAAAAAGAAAAAAAAACGCAGTTAAAAGCAACATTCCTATCTAGTGGTGTACCTACGTATAAAAGCAAAGAAGCATTTGAGCATTCTCTTGACTTTCTCTCTTCGGTTCTCGGCAAACATCCATCGTATCGGGAAGTTCCAATTAAACGACGATCCCATCGAAAACGGCCTCAAAGTTTATTCGGTGAACGGTACGTTGTCGGATCGGGCGGAAGTGTCCCGGAAATCACAAATTCTCGAGCGCGGAGGATCAAAGAGGGTGGAAAGAGAGACAGAGACAGAGACAGAGATAGAGACAGAGGCAGAGGCAGAGATAGAGAAAGATAGAAAGAGGGAAAGAGCCGCGTAAATTCGGCTTGACGATCAACGACGATTCGTTCGAATGTGGTAACCCATCGGCGAATCGTTGGTAATCGAATCGAGCGGGCAATTTTCGAGGCTCACCATTGAAAGGTTGGCTCAGTGTCGCGACGAACTGCCCGTCCAGAGGATCTGACCATCTTTCTCTAAAGCTCTCGTCTTCTCGTCTTACCTAGGAAAAGCTCGGCCAACCGTATCTCGTTCCCTTTCGCATGACGGACCTGGGAATTCCAAACTCGAGTGGATGTCGTTCCTGCCTTTTACACGCCTCGGAGAATCGGTCCTCGTTTCTCACGGACTCAAAGACAAGGAATTTTACTTTTTCCTTCAATTTTGCGGATAGAGTAGAAACGTTCGACGATATAAACGATCTTCTCTGATCTGTAAAACAACGAACGCCTGTTCTTCGATCGCCTGTTCTTCATTTCAGAAAACATTTGCATTGTCGTTGAATTTTCTAAACCCTCGATCACCTTACAAAAAAGAAATTTATCTTCGATAACGTCGATTAAGATTTATCGATTATTATCGATGTCAGTTTATCTAATTGCAATTTTATATCAAATTGCAATAGTTTCGAACGTAATACTTACGTTTGATTTTTTTTCTTCTCTTTTTTTTTTTCTTTTTTTTTTTTTTTCTTTACTTTTCTTTCCTCGTTCATGAACAAAAATTCCCTTCCAAACGTTGCACTCACAACGTTTCGTTATTCCAATGGATTCTCGACTAGTTTTTCTTTATTTTCTTTACTTTCTTTTTCATTTCACTTCTTACTCTTAGAAATCCATGAGAAAGTAAAAGAAAAAAAAAAAGAGGAAAGTAAAAAGGAGAAAAAAAAGAAAAGGTAGAAAACAAAAATCAAAAAAAAAAAATAATACGATAGCTTTACCCAACGTGTACCTGCCTAGGTACAATTGAGGAGAATTGTAAAATCTCGAAAAGAACTCTTACGTAAAGTCACATTTCCTTCGTGACAATTTTTTTCTCACGAATTATCCCCGGTATCGTTTCGAAAAAGAATTCCTTTGTTGGTTCCATTTGATTTCAAAATTCTTCACGTTGAATTTATGAATGAGTTAAATGAAAATGCAAAATAATGGCTTGCACGTGGTTTAGGTACATGCTATACCTATATGTATGTATATATATATATATACACACATATATATATATATATATACACATGTAGATTACTAGAAGTCGTTTGATTTGCGGGAATGGTAACGGCGAAATATCCGTTAATCCATGGGACTAACGCGTAAAAGCTCGAAGGTTCGATCTACGATTCGCGGAACGTGTCGGCGAACAAAAGGTGGAACGTTTGCGTTAGGGAAATCGCGGGGTAACGCTGTGTTCCATTCTCGATATTCGAATACCCGTAAGATCGATTTTCGTTTCTCGCCGTAGAACTCGCTTCGCGAGCGACTTTACAAACGGATTCCGCATCGATGGATCGGCTAACCGGATGCCACCGGCCGGAAGAGCCACCGGGTTTGCCCCTCGACCTGGCCAGTTGCTATTCCCCTCTCTCCCGTTCCTCCTATCCCTCCTTCTCCTCGTTCTCTTCCCCCTTCTCCTCCTCCTCTCCTAAACCTTTATTGCGTCCAAAGAGATATGTACAATGAAAATAGTGAATTCGAATCCATCGATTGGGCCGACTATTTTTTTCTATGCTTTCGTACATTCACAGTTTTCGACAATTTTTCGGGATCTACCGTCTGAAACATAAAAATGGTACAAGTTTGTACGAAAAGCAAACGTCCAATGAAACGTCACAATGATCATCGCAAACAAATAATATATGTCTCTTAGCTCGTTTGTTTCTTTTTTTCTCTTTTTCTTTTTTCTTTCTTTTCTTTCTTCTTCTTCTTCTTCTTCTTCTTTCATTTACTCACAATCGTGCAAATATTTCCATCGAAGTTACTCAGTACTGATAGCTACTTCATTTTTTTCTTTCTTGTTTTTTTTTTCTTCTTTTTTATTATTATTCTTTTTCTCTCTTTCTTTTCGTTTATTTTTTTCTTTTTTATTCCATTAAAATGAAACTGTGACATCGACGTTATACAATACATACATAAATACATAAACAGTTAAATGTAGAAATATTAATTTATTATTATTATAATAAAAGAAAAAAGGTGATAATGTTGATAATGACGAAATGATAAGTCGAAATATCGTTGTTGCTTCAAACGTTAAACAAGCACGGATTAAAATGAGAATTCAACGAAAACGAAAGATAATTCGTGCTTCCATAATTCTAACTTTTCTGTTAGCCTTTCTTCTTCTTCTTTTTCTTCTTTGTTTCCTTCTATCTCTTTTTCTTTTCTCATTCTCGTTCTCTCACCTTCTTCTTCTTCTTCTTCTTCTTTCTTTTTCTTCGACCATCTCGCTCGCACGTAAAACGATTAAGGAGATCGCAAGCGAGCGCTACTCGTCTCTCGAAGGGTAGTTTATTTGGGAAATGATTTCAGCAGGCGGTATAAGCCCGAATTGATTTATCTTTACAGTAGGGAGAACACATCTCGGCACGGTGCATTCTCTCTCTCTCTCTCTCTCTCTCTCTCTCTGTCTCTCTCTCCTGTTCTCTCCACTTCGTCGAGCGTTGCCCTCATTCACCGACCATTCGTATCTGTCTATCTACACCAACCCTGTGTAGTTTCGCTCCCTCGCTTATCCGTTCTAATAAGCCCATGATAAAGATACTCTCGAATTAGCCCGCTGAAATCATTCAGCGGAACGCAAAATTCCATGGATAAGAAGTATATTTAAAGTTTTCGCGATTTGATTGTAAGGGGGGAAAAAAAGAAAAACAGGAAAGGAAAAAGAGCAAAAGGAAAAAGGAAAAAAAGAAAAAAAAAAAGAAAAGAGAAAAAGAAGAGAGAAACAGCAAGAAGAAAATATTTCTTCTTTCATTTATTCCTTCGAGATTATTTAATTAAATACGAATTATCGCTTTTGAATAGATCGGGATAATGAGAGAAATTATAAATGATAATTAATGAATTGAAATTTTGTCGATTCTATATTTTCGATATGTTATGTGATAAATTCGATAAATAAATCGAAACGAATAGAAATCTTGAAGCGTTAAAAGTACCCGATTATATTCAGATTCGTTCTTCCGCAAAGGGCACTTTCTCGGGTACTGACCCACTAACGTTTGCCAATTAGGCGTAACGGCTCGCGAATTAACCCTTGGTAATTGGCGTTAATTCCGGTAATTGTGGTCCGCATCGATTGGTCAAACTTTTCTCGCACGCTCCCTACGATTTCGCGTAGGCGAATAAAGTGGAAAGAGGATGGAAGATCGACGAGTAGAAAGAGAAAAGACGTGTGAGACGTAAAGAGAGATCGAGTTTTAAGAACGTGGGCGGAGAGTTACTCAGCTACTATAAAATCGAGAAAAAGTTTCGCTGAGAAAGAGACAGACAGAGAGAGAGAGAGAGAGAGAGAGAGAGAAAGAGAGAAAAACATCATCGAGGTCTTCTTAATGCTCGCTGGACCTTCGTTGCTATTACCATCGGCTTAAACGCAACGACATAGTTACATAAGTGCATATAACGTGCTTTCTACGTTAATAGAAATGAATGTTATTTTTAATTGTCGTACACAAAAATGCATAACCACAGTCGTAATGGTTCATTATGTGCTTAAATATTATCCGGTATTAACTAATGTTCGTGTTCCACTCAAACAACATTCTTCTCTATTCGATTTGATATATATATATATATATATATATATATATATATATATATGCATCTACTTGTTTCTGAAAACGTTTGAAAAGTGGAAATAAATTCATGAAATATTGTATAATCGATTTGTCGCACATACGTACACACATATCTACGCATGCAGGTGCGCATCGAGCTATCTCAAAATAACATTTAATGAGATACGAATGGAGTCACGAAGTCGTCCGATATTTAATTAACGTACGGCAATAATACTTATAAAGATGCTCGAAAAAGAGACCTTTAAAGATAAATAACGAGGATGAAGGAACGTACGTTTGTTTATACGTTTTGGTATTTCAAAAGCAATCATGCTTAAACGTTATTAAAGTATACTCGGTTCTTTTAACTCTTATAAACGATATGCGGCAGCTCTCTCGTAATTTTCACCTTAGAAACGCTTTACAAACGTCTTCTCTGTATATTTTAATAAGATTTAAATAATCCGGATACTTTTGATTACGCTAATTACGTTTGTGGAAATAATTTTTATTGACAGAAACGATTTCTTTTTCTTCTTATTTTTACTTTGATAATAATACTACGAAATATTGCTCTGACTTTGATATAATTTAGAATAGATTTTTTATTCGATGCTTCAGTCTCGCCTTAATTTGTCTTTTTTTTTTTCTTTTTTATTTTTTACCATTTTCTTTCTTCTCTCTCTCTCTCTCTCTCTTCTTTTTTTTTTCTTTTTATTCCCTCTCCATAACCGTTTATTACTCGTCACTGACAGTCGACGAAATGAAAGTTTGAACGCGATAAAATCTTTTTCCAGGTACGCGCGACCATTTTAACCGAGTCACGATGAGAAATCCACACCTGTCTGAACACACGAAGTGTCGTACCACTTAAGCGTCCAGAAACTCCCTGCTTATGTTCGACGTCAGTTGGTAACTTTTACATTTATCTACTTCTCAACTTATTTTTAACAGGAATAAAGGAAGTTCAATTTTTCTTTTATTACCTTAATCATACTAGTCTATATGATTTTTCTTAATAATTTAGTTTTAAAATCTGAGAAAATTTTGGAGCATTAATTATTCGCGAATGAAAATAAAATTAATTAGATCGATCGAATTTAAATAAATCGTTGTATTGTAAAATTTATTTTATCAGCGTATTCGTTAAATTGAAAAAGCGAGCGGAAAAATAGCGTTTGAACGCGTACGGAATTACGAAAAGTGAGCACGTAAGAATTGTACGAAAGCCGATGGGGAAAGAAAAAAAAAATATATATATATATATATATATATATATATATAAATGCTGACGTATATATACAATATATACTTATATATTTCTCAATACATACTCTCTTTCTTTCTCTCTCTTTCTCTCTCTCTCTCTCTGTTTCTGGTCTGTGAGACTAAGTAAATAAATAACGTAACTGGCAAGCGTAGATAGTATCGGGTAGTCGAGAATCGTACATGGAATATTTTTTACTGGTTCCTTTTTAAAATCGCACGTGCGTTTATCTCTTCTCTGCAGCCCGGTAGAGTCTATTTTGGACACGTTCAAGAACGATATATATCAAGGCAAAACAATGTTGCAGAAACGTGAAGCATCCATCCATTGTTGAAAAGAACGGAAGAAAGAACGTGTGTTCGTGTTTTGTGTCTGTATTTTCTCAAGAGTCCAAAAAGGATCCTTACGGTCTGTCACTTACAAAGAATCCCTTTAATTTCTCTTCTTCTTCTTCTTCTTCTTCTTCTTCTTCTTCTTCTTCTTCTTCTTTTTCTTTTTCTTTTTCTTTTTCTTTCACAGAAGCACGTCTCTCTTTTTCAAAGAGTAACTCAAAGTATATTTTCCCTTTAATAATCCTAATTTATATAATAAAATATCAAAAAGTTTTCTGTTTGAACGTCAAATAAGATTGGTTCCGGTGGATTATGAAAGTTAAATCGGATAAACTGGATATTGTCGGCAAAGGGTTATATTCGGGAGATTCTATTCAAAACAAACAAACAAACAAACAAACAAACAAAAAGAAAGAGAAAGAGGAAAAGAAACAAAAAGAAAAAAAAAAGAAAAAGGAAAGAAAAGAAAAAGAAGAAGGAGAAAGATGAAAAAAAAATTAGAAAAAAGAAAATGTTGGTCATCCTGCTTTATACATATATATATATATATATATATATATATATATATATATATATATAAAAAGAAAAAAAAAAGAAAAAAGGAAAAAAATAATCCTTCAGAAACGAAGTTAAAAAAGGATTTCGTTTAAAGCACTGTCATACGATTTTATTGTACGGTTAGTCCCTTTTCTTATCGCGAATAGAATACAGTAGTATAAGTGCAGTTGAAAGTTCGTGCACGTTTCAAGATATCGACTCGGACCACTGGTAAGTAACTTCCTTCGTATAGGAAAACGTAGTTTGCGATTCTTTCACCGATTACCTCTAACTTCGCGAATGTTTTTGTTTTTTTATTTTTTTCTTTTTTTTCTTTTTATTTTGTTTCCATTCTATTTCTCTCCTTCTTTTTCTTTTTTTTTCTTTTCTTCTTTTTCCTTCCACCCACCCCCTCCCTCGTCTGTTCCACCCGCCCCCGATTTCATTTCTCTCGCGAAATTAGATACATATTAGATATATTATTCGTGTGCGTTCGTTCGATTTTGCAAGCGCAAATGTAACGGAGAAAATTTACGAAACGTATACGAATCGATCGAACGTCGTGGATATCTCAAAATTTGCTCAACAGGATATTCATTTGAGAATATGGATTCATAACGTTAACTATGGATAGCTCTCTGTCATTCGGGCATGTGGCATCGTTCCCAAGAGTATTAAAATTAAGCCGTAAAAAGCCGCTCTCACTCAGCCGTACCATCAGCCGAATGAAGAAAATCTTAAACACGGCGAAGCGGCGAACCGAGAAAAATTTACGAATTATTCCGAGTTTATAGCGATTTCCCTTTTCGTCTCTCTATCCCCTACCCCCACGCCACTCGTTCTTGTTCGTAGTTTTTCTTTCGTTCTTTTTCTCATTTCACTATTCCTTATATTTTCCACGTAGTTCTTCTCTTACGTTATTCCGCCTTTCTTTCTTCGTCAACGAATAGGTACGCTCGGTAGATTGAGTTTTGCATTTAAATTCATGGAATAATAACGACGCGCGAACGATACTTTCCAAGTTACTATTACCTAGACGAAACTAGATTATTCTATTGCATTCAAGGACGAAGACATTTTTTCATATTTTTTTTTTCTTTTGCTTCCTTCTTTTTTTCTCTCTTTGTTTTTTACTTTTTCGAAGAAATTTTTTCCGATTCGCGAGATCCTTTCGTATCCGAAGGATAGACTCTATCGCATATTTGAAAAGAGGGAAAGGAAGTCGATACGTACAAGTTCAAAATAGATTCGATACACAATTTGCAATTGTCAGGATGTTCTCGTGTCTCGAATGGTAAAAGCAGTTTTGTATCGTTGGCAAAATATAGAAGAATCTATTGGGTGACGGTTTCCTTTCGCGAAGGACTAGCAAGGAGGGATTGGTAAGGTGGTAGATAAGGATGAAGAAACGTAGAAGCATATTGGGCGTATTGGATTGAGTATTCCATATTTTCCGCGCTCGGTCGACCGGAAGATGAGGCTCGTCCGATCGGAAGATCCGACAAAGGCGGCTTATTGGCCGATGTTACTTTGCTCTCAGATGTTACGCTACGGTACACGCTCTTTGCACGCTCGCACAAAGGATTATTACGATTTACCTTCGGCTTTTCTCATCCTCTACTTCTTCGTCCTTATCCTTTGCTTTCACTAGCTCTTTATTCTCTCTTTCTCCCTCTCTCTCCCTCTCTCTCTCTCTCTCTCTCTCTCTCTCTCTCTCTCTCTCGTTGCTCAAGTGTGACCGCTATCGTCGATCATACTTTCATCCTTTTTTTCCCCTCCGAATAGAAAGGCAGATAATATTTTTACAAAACAAAGTGTATTTGTCGTCCCAAAGCTGCTTCCATCAAGAAAAATATTATCTATTAATCACGACAGTAGGACATTTACAAGTTTACCGGATTACTACGGAGATTTAATAGTTTCACAAATATCCATTAGGTTTGCCAAGTTGAATTGGCACGTTTGTACACGTCGAGAGAGCAACATGGGGTAGAAATAATACGAAACTGTTACAATGAACTATACGACGACACCGTGTTCCAGTCATAAGTAGAACATTTTCTTGTGTCCTTGTACGCTTTACATTTAATGACAACTGACAAAGCACTTGTTTTATTATTCTCTTACATATATATATATATACATGTCTACACATATATATATATATATATATATTAGAAACAACAGATTCCAGCTTTTGTCTCTTATAAATTCCAATGTATTCGTCTATGAAAATGAAAAGATAAAAATAAATATATATTTCGAGTATATATATATATATATATATATATATATATATATATACATATATATTACTCGGGAAAAGGCAATAATCGATATATGCGAAATCAGAAAATGGTCAAATAGTTGGTATATTGGACGATATTTAAACGTAAAAATAAAATTTGTTGAAAATTTTGGTTAGCGCCCGTCGTGTCTGGATTTATTCGTAACCTGTTCGTCGAATTTTAGTTCGTGAGAGACTAGAGAGAGGGAAAAAGAGAGAGAGAGAGAGAGAGAGAAAAAGAGAGAAAGAGAAAAAGAGAGAGTATGTGCGCGTGTATACTCGAAAAAGAGATTTTATATAAAAGCAAGCCGACTATGAGATAAATCGTATTCGTACTCGGGAAGCCATAAATGTCGATCGATGGTATCGAATAATTTGACCATGTACCGACATTATTTCAAATGTTTTGTTATTCGCATAGATTTTTTTTTCTCTTTATTGTATTTTATCGTTCGAATTGGAAAAACTAACTTTAAAAGGTAATTTCATCGGATATTTACATTATTTTTAATTTTCAATCGGCATAAATTAAATGAATGAAATAATCATTCCTTTGATGTTTATATCGTTCGTAAAAAGCATCATTAAAAATTTTATATCAACACTCATAATTTTTAATTGCCCTTTACGTCATTTCTCCATCGTAAATATTAATATGAGCCTGAAATATTCGAATTTACTATCGTAAATGTTCATATAATTATTTTAAAAAGTAATCAATCTGGTTAAATGATCCTTTAGCATATATGTTTTTCATTTTATAAAAACAATCTTTTATTGATCTTTTAATAAACTTTTTCCATACGTGTATATATATATATATATATATATATATATATATATATACATATATATATATATAAGGAACATCTTTGATCTACATAAATTCACGAAATCCGACTTGACGAGTCAACACGAACAGGTGTATTTATAACAGGTGTTATATAAAAGCCATCAATAAGTCTATATAAATGATTAGAATTCTGATCGGAGAATCAATAATAAACAGGTGTCTTTTCGATAGGTACATATCTGTTAAGGATATCTTTCTGTCGCATATAAATTCTTGGAATTTAATAGGACAAATAAATGTTAAACAGGTGTTTTTATTTTATTCCTTTTTTTTTCTCTCTTTTTTTTTCTCTTTTTTTTTTCTTTTTTTCATTTTTCATACGCGTCGTATAAAGATATCTCTGGCCTACATAAACCTTCAATATATACGACTGCATTCTCTGTGGACACTTAAGGATAGGTCGTGAAAATTGTTGATTCGTTAAAAATTATATAAAAATTCATCGTGAAATTTCATCGTCAGTGTATTCCTTTTTTCTTCTCTTCCGTTTTATTTCTTTTTCTTTTCTCTCTTTATTTTTTTTTCTTTTTTTTTTTTTATTCTTTCTTTCTTTCTTTCTTTCTTTCTTTCTTTCTTTCTTTCCTTCCTTCGGTTCGTTTTCTCTTTCGCTTTTATATAAGGAACAAAGTAAAGAAG